TTTTTTTATATATACAAATGTAAGCTTAAAAAAATTGTTTATTGTATGAATCAATTTCAATAAAATTAATTTTCCCTTTTAATCCTGGAGAAAAGAAAAATTCTTGATGATCATCTTGAGTTAAATGATTCAAATCGGAAAGATGAATAAATTCGTCGCTCGCGAATCATACAATAGTTCCACAAGTTTCAGTTTTGTATCTGAACTTTCTTGTAGAAACAACTTTTAGACATGGCGTAAGTAGTGATTGAGATGTTCGAGTTCTGACTACATCATTGAAACTAACCGCTGTTTTTAATGTGTTTTAGAGAACAAAACTGCAGCAGGAAGATCTTGCAGACGGATGCTTCCGGTTGCTTTATTATTGGGAAAGATTCGATACCGATGAAACTGTGGCAGTACACTGATGTCGGTGGCAAACTGCGCTATTCACTAGTACCGGTGTTAGACGACGTCGCTAAAACTGCGGAAGATGTAAGAGTACTTAAGGTACCTTTGACTTCCATTAAAATTGAAGAAATCGAGAGTCAACAGAATAGTCAACAGAAAATCTGCAGCGTCACTAATTGCATGGATCCCTTGATGCGTTTACACAAGATAGCGAAGATCGATATTTACACTTGCGACAAGTGTGATATGAAATTTCCTATGCAATCCATGTTGAATCGCCACAAAATAACGCATAATATACGTTTATGGCTTCGTAGAAGGTGTTCGAGGGAAAAGCTCATGCAATATTTAAGGACAAACGTTCGAAGACAATTTAAATCCAGACAGTTGAAATCGCGAAGGCGTTTAGAGAAAGCGAAATATGTCTGCACGTCTTGCGATTTCGGTTGTAATAGACTAGTGACTTTGGATGCGCACATTAAGAGGAAGCACAGAGAAGACAAGGCGATCAAGACAAATTCCAAGAAATTCGTCTGTACGATCTGTGATTACGAGTGTTCGAGCGAAGCGAATTTGAGTGGGCACATGCGCAAGCACAGGAACAAGAATAGGACGAGTTTTGCCTGCAACCTGTGTGACTTTGAATGTAAAAGGAGCACCACTCTAACATCTCACTTGGCGCAAAATCACAAAATATCCAAGAAAATCTCGAGCGCGATTTGCACAGAGAAGAAACGTAAGGTAACACCTCCCAAGAAGAAGACTAGTCAATCTTGCTTGCAAAGCCGCGAGACGGTTAAGGCCGTTTCGTTAATCACACACGAGGATCCCAATTTGAGAATTAAAGAAGAAGTTTATGAGGATTGCAACGAGACATCAGCGATCACTGCGAACGTTCGAAAGAAATCGAGCCAGAAAAGGCCACCTGTTGTCGAGGAACATTGCGATCTCTGTGATTTCACGTGCACGAAAAAGAGCACGCTGTACTCGCATAAACGACGGCACAAAGCGGAGGACGTCAACGAGGTGTACGCGTGCAACGAGTGCGGCTTCAAGACCGTGAAGAAATCGTCCCTGTATTCGCACATCAAGCGCAAGCACAAGGAGCCACGGTCCTGCGACGGCGACGCGCAGCCGGAACTGTTCTGTTGCAGTCAGTGCGACTACAAGAACAAGAACAAGTACGAGTTGAAGATACATGTCGCGCGCAAGCATACGGACGACTTCAAATTCTCCTGCGAGACCTGCGGTAAGAAGTTCAAGGTCAAGGGTGACCTGACCAATCATATACGTTTCAGTCATCGAGAGCAACCGGTGATTTGCGACGTTTGCGGTAAGACCTGTCTCAACAGCAATTCCTTGTACGTTCATCAAAAATTCGCACACTACAAGGCCAAGTACGAATGCCAGATATGCAAGAGGCGGATGGTCAGCCAAGAGAACCTCAACGAACACATGCTCAGGCAGCACGAGCGCAGGGAGAACGTGGTGTGCGAGGAGTGCGGCAAGACATTCTCGCGGAATAGCAGACTGAAGGTGCACATGAGGATCCACACCGGCGACAAACCGTACAGCTGCAACGTCTGCACCAAGTCCTTCGCTCGCAGGACCGCCCTGAAGCAACATCTACTCATCCACACTGGCATCAGGCCGTACGTGTGTGACATTTGCGGCAAGGCCTTCACTCAGAAGCCGGGTCTGATCAGTCACAGGAAGTCTCATCCGGGCTCCCATCCGCCTTTGCCGCGCGTTCTTATCGATCATATTTTGAATGACGTTATGAACGCTTGATGCACGGCGATTGATTGATCGACTGACATAAAATTGACGCGGATGATTCCGAGAAATGCCTGTTCATAGGTGAACAATGTATAAAAGAAAACTTTGCTTGTGTAACAGATATTCATATACGCAATGCAAATAAGATACTTTTATGGTTTTTTTTTAACCAGTAATATCTATAGCAATTTATATCATAAAACAATTAAGTTCTTATATTATGAAAAAGTTTAATTGCTATATATGGAAATATAAATTATATATATTTTATATTATGATATCAATGTGCATGTTAAATCAAACTTTCTCATGTAATGAAATTTTTTTATCTAAAGTTTTGTTAAATTGTTTTGTTATGCTTCACGTTCTCTATATATAGCTTTATATACTCTATCTTATCTAATTTGTTTATCGCGCGTTATATTAAATAAAAAAGAATTACGTTGAAATTTGAAATTTTTCAAAACGATAAAATCATATTTTAGTATCACACGTGATACTCATAACACAATTGATTATTAGAATCTCATCGTTTCTGTTAATTTATTTGTTAACATCTTTTATTTCAAAACATTTATATTCTAAATGTGTGTGTATAAGATTATTGTACAATTATTCATGTTATAAATCTAACAAAACTGCGAAAGAGTGTTTAGATCATAATATTTGAATAACATATATTTTCTTATGTATAGCACAATATTTATATCCTAGACTTGACTACTTTTTTATATATGCAATTAGCTATAACCTAATGTGATTTAGTTTTATACAAACATGTTACAGAATGTGTAAGTTACTACAAAAAAGATTTTCGTTTATTATTATAAATAAAATGTATCTATTCTTGTCGTTAATTGTAATTCTTGCGAGATTAGAAAAAAATTGGAAAATGATATATAAATAATTATTATAAAAATCTAAAATTTATGTTTTATCTAGGACCTCATCCATTTATGTAAAAAGACCCTTTATTCTCAATTTCAAACGTTGAACGTCTCTTTAGAGGCGATAAAGGGATAAAATTGCGAAATAAAGATTTTAAAACTTATTTAAAAATTCCTTAACTAACATATTATATGATTTTCAGGGTCCTAAATGGAAATGGACATTTTCTGTATGGCAAAGAATCTATTCCAATGCAGCCGTGGAAAGTGGTTGATTTGGAAGGGTGTCTCTATTACGCCTTCCTTCCAGTGAATCAGTCATCAAAAGCAACAGAGGAGCATGAAAGTGATCAAAAACAAAATGACAAAATATTGAAAACGGATGTTGATAATGTGGAAAGTTCTTTTACAATTCCAAGTGACAACAATATAACGTACACGAATGTGTCGAATAATTTTTATGCGGTAAAAATAGAACGCGAGAATACATTTGAGATGGAGATGGGAGACGATCAGTCTTACAACGAGGAGGATAAAGTCTATGCTTGCGACGACTGCAACATTTGCTTTCCTGTAATGCAAATGTTGAAACGCCACCGTGATATGGTGCACGAGCAGGATGTTAAAGACGTTGAGAATATTACGTACAGATGCAACTTTTGCAGTTACGAGAGCACCAACAAATCAACTCTCAATTCGCACATCAACAGAAAACATTCCGGCAGAAAACGTATCGTTAAACATAAGGGTAAATTTAAATCCGTTATTAAGAAAGAGTACTCGTGCGACGTGTGCGGATTCAATTGTCCGAGCCGACGACGGCTGAAAGAGCATCTCGATCGCAAACACGGGTCCGAGTACAAATACGATTGCGAGTACTGCGGCAAAAAGTTTAAGGTAAAGAGTGACATGAGATTGCACGTGCGTTTCAAGCATAAAGAGAGCCCGATAATATGCGACGTCTGCGGTAAAACCTGCTCTAACAGCAATTCGCTGTATGTGCACCAAAAGTGGGCGCACTTCAAGCCCAAATACGAATGCGAGATCTGTAAGAGACGTATGGTCACGCAAAAGAATCTGGATCAGCACATCTTGCTGCAGCACGAGCGCAGAGAGAGCTTCGTGTGCGAAGAGTGTGGCAAGTCTTTCTCAGAGAATCATCGATTGAAACAGCACATGATGACCCATACCGGCGATCGGCCGCACGATTGTCATATCTGTGGCAGGGCCTTCGCACGTAGAACTGCGTATAGGCAACATTTGTTAATTCATACTGGAAAACGACCGTATATTTGTGACATTTGTGGGAAAGCTTTTACGCAAAAGCCTGGATTGATATGTCATCGGAAATCTCATCCTGGAGTACATCCTCCTTTACCAGTAGTGCATATCGATCATATCCTCAATGATTTCATGAACAAACAATAATCTCTTGGTGCAAATCGATTAAATCTAAAAACATTTATATCTGTACAACTGAAAATTGCTATGTACATTAAACATTTGAAATTATACTTTTGGAAATTAATTTTTTATTATATTGATTATCATACCATTTTTTTGTAGATTATTTTGTACGTTCTTTTAGTAGCGGAAGATTCTACTATTCGCAAATTTTGATAAAAAGAATTATTGTTGAAAAACTGTTAAGTGGTAAAAAATTATATTTTAGAGAATGCTGATTCTTATCATTAATATATATCTTAACACATTTAGAAAACTAGAAATAATAGATATTTGATTCTCTTAATTTTATATGTAAAATAAATTTGTTTTTACGTTGATTTTCGTTTCATGAAATAATATGTTAATACATATGTTAAAATATAAATTACGATGTGATAAGTAATACGATGTATTTTAATAAAAATTTTGTCTCAATGATGAAAACAATTTATTTGCGAATTAATATCAAATTTTTTTACCTTATTAATCAGTAAAATTTTTTTTATTTATTGTAACATTTTTTATTTTAGGAGATAAATTTTATTAAATTGTTTTTACAAATTTTAAATACGGAAAAGGTTTGTACTAATCAATACTTACGTGTAAGTATAATAAATTGTATATTGAATTTTTTTTATAATCTTTCAAGTAAAAGATTCATATATTGAAAAAGTTTCAGGTGTGCTTGCAGATGTTGGAAGCAGTTCTTGTTCTGTTTTGTGTTCATAAAATATTAACAAAGAAATATGTTCTATTTTTTGATAGTTCTTTGATGTAAGTAACATTAAGATCAAATCTGTTTTTATGGAATGAAGTCTTGTTAACATTCTTCTATTTTTATTTCAGGAAGGTCAATTGTGTGCATGCTTTTGGAATAATGTTTACCTGTTTTAAGTATTTGTTAACTTTGGCAGATAACTAAAAAAATAGTTTTGAAAAAAGCTATAGTATTAAATGCGAAATAATAGTTTTGTAAAACTGCACCATGTTTGCTATTTTTTAATATATGGAAAGGATAAGGATCTTCATAAGTTTTTGAATTAGAAATAGTAGCAATTAACTCGTCCAAAATAATCAATTTTTTTCTCAATAGTTTTTTAAATCATTTATAATAATTTAAAAAATTTTTACATTATTGTTGAAACAGTTAAGAGTTATTTACGAAAAATGAAAAACGCAAATTAGAAATTTATTAAATTATAAATTTTTATTTTGATTTTCATCAATTTTCTATCATAGTATTTTCTACTTATTTCCGAATTCTCTATCAAAATAATATTAGTGCGTTATTAATCTCAAAAAAGTTATACTTAAATTGTTGTACATATTTTGTTATATCCAATTTTGTATGAAAATAAATACATCGTAATTCTTCTGCGTTACCTTGAGTATTTCGCATCAAAAATATCTTTCTAAACTCTGAGCAAAGGGGTGAGAAACAATTTTAATTCTACTTGTAAAATCAATAATGTCTTAGCAAATTTTAAATTTGAATGTAAGTAGAGATCCAAGATCTGTATACTTCCCAAATGTAGAACCGTAATAAAGATGTGTCTATGTAATGTTGTAGGAAACCAGCAGCGGATATTCCTGCCGAAGCGATGAAAGAAATTCGAGCGAAGATATCCGAAAACAAGCGGAAGAAGAAGAAGAAGTCGCATAAGAAAAATCGCGAGGAGAGATGCACTTCCCTCGCTTGCGACGTTTGTTCTAAACAGTTCAAGAGTAAATACTTACTGAAACGACACAAGTTCACGCACACGCCGACCGAGGTCGGCGAAACGGATGTGAAAGAGAATTCCGCGTTCACCGACGTGGTGCCGCGAAATCAGGAAGCTCTCTCGTGCATAACGTGCGACTTTCGCTGCGATAAGAGATCAACGATGATCGCGCATCTCGCCGAAAGGCACGTGGGAGCCGATGATAGATTTAGAGCCAGCGACAAGCGCGAGTTCACGTGCATCGTTTGCGGCTTGGTGTGCGCCCGTAAGGAGACCCTGAGATCGCATTTTGTCCGCAAGCACACTCAGCATTATGGCTACTCGTGCGAGCACTGCGGCAAGGAGTTTAAGATCAAGGGCGATCTCACCACCCACACCCGATTGAATCATCGAGAATCGCCGGTGATATGCGACGTGTGCGGCAAAACCTGCCGGAACAGCCACAGCCTGTACACCCATCAGAAACACGCGCATTACAAGGCGAAGTACGAGTGTCCGCTGTGCCACCGGCGGCTCGTCACCCAGGAGAACCTGGATCAGCACGTGCTGACGCAGCACGAGAGGAAGGAGAAGTCCGTGTGCGAGGAATGCGGCAAGACCTTCTTTGAGAATTACGATCTGAGGAAGCATATGAGAATCCACACCGGCGACAAGCCGTACAGCTGCCCGGTTTGCGGCAGAGCGTTCGCCAGGCACAGCAGTTTGAGCCAGCACCTCCTTCTGCATACCGGCGAGCGTATCTATGCGTGCGACATATGCGGTAAATCGTTCGCCCAGAAGGCCGGTCTCATCTGCCACAGAAAGATCCACTCGGGCGTTCTGCCGCCTCTGCCAGTGATACACATCGATCATATACTGAAGGAATTTATAAAGAAATGAAACCGCATAATAACCGCACTCGAATGTTGGTGCCTCGTTTGAATTGGTGCCTTGCGTTTGATTATTAAATAAAGCTAAATCGTTAAAGTGCGAAGCACAAGGCAGGCCTTTGTTTGTAATACACGATTGATAGTGTCGGTATAAATACGAAAGGAATAGACTTAGCCATTTTTTTATTATAATCATAACAAACTAAAAATAACACAGCTTTCGAAAATTGTTGTAAGATGATATCGAGATGCGATAGTAGATTATAATCGTGAATCCTTTCTTTATATGTTGGCATGAATGAGACACGAGAAGCTTCATCCATCACTTTGTGCAATATATCTTACATATTATCTTACATATTATTTTAGAAAATCGATGAGAAAGTGATAAACAATATTTTTTTATGAAACGAGTTACAAAAATAACTTGAAATGTTATATCTAAATCATAAAATCTTGAGATTAGATTTTATATATGGAAATGTATAAATAAACGGATATCTGAAATATTTTATTATTTAAAAATACACAAAAAACATTGTAAAAAAAAAGTAAAATTTATGTTATTTATGAGCATTATCTGACTATTGGTTGATTTAAGATTTAAATATTGCTATTTTACAAATTTCAAACTCCTTAGAATTATGAATAACATTCATTATTATTCATCAGAAATCTATATTTTATATTGTATTGTTGTTATGTTCCAATATTGATATTTTTTGTTTCTCGTTTACTTTTTTTAGTTAATCGTTTACTTTTTGATGTAATGTTATGACATTGTTTAGAAATAATTAGCTTCAAACAGACACATATGTTTCTAAAATTGTTGAAATAAATTTATAATTACACGTTTATATGTTGTGCATGTGTGTGTATGCGTGTGCGTACGTGTGTATGTGTGTGTGTGTGTGCGTGCGTGTGTGTGTGGTATGTGTGTGTGTGCAATAATATTTTATTTTATAAAGACATGTTTTTTTGTTTGAAATTTTTTCCCATTTTATGGCACTTTCCTAACTGTCATGTAGGTTACAACAGACTGCAACGCTGATCAACAAGGAAGGTAGTTGTAGCTCCTCGTTTGTGAGTACCTTCGTTGATCCGTGATCTCTAATTAAATTTATATGTGATAAATATATTTTCAAGCGTATAATTTACTGCGGTAATCAAAAATCACGTGCCACTGTTCTTTATAATAATTACTTCATTCCATGATGTTTCAGGTTTGAAGATCCTCAAAACCCTCGTGGTATTTTCATCTTCGATAATGCATCGTTGGTGATGAAGAAGTGGCAAATTTTGGAATTCGACGGCAAACCGTATTACGCATTTATACCTGAAGGCGATACGCCTTTGTCAGATGAAGATATACCAGAAGATATAGAGGAAAAATTAGATGAGATGGAAATAGAGCGGATAGAAGAAATGGAAGATGAAAATAGCATAATATGTGATAATGTAAAACAGGAAGGTCGGTTCGAGAAAGAAGAATATGATTCTATGGAAGAGAAATATAATGCCGAGAGTATCCTTAACGGAAGCATCGAGGGAACAGAGGAATCGAGTATAAAACCGATCATACTGAATGGCATCAGTGAAAATATGGACGACAAATCTGTTGGGGATTTGTATCAACTGAAAGTGCAAGGCACTATGGTAACAATTGAGAAACTTGGGTGTAACACGGATGGAGACGTCAACAAAGAGAACGAAGATCAGACGGAAGACATGAATGACGATGAGGGAGAGATAGAATACCTTGACGAAGAGTTGATAAATATTTCCAATGTATCTCCTAAACCTTCCAATAATGCATCTCCTAAAAAAAAATCTGCGAAGAACTCCAATGAGGCTCTGAAGTGCAAATTATGCTCGGAAACGTTTGACACCGTGTTATCCTTCAGGAAGCACGTAGCGTGGAGTCACAAGAAGAAGATGTGCATAAAGGAAGATGGCGCATATATATGCGCCGTATGCGGCTTTAAAACCTCGAAAAAGAACTCGTTTGCCTCTCATCTAGAGAGGAAGCACGAAACTTGGTCCAGGAAACGATCTGGCAACACGAAATTCCCTTGCGCCGCTTGCGGCTTTGTTTGCAGATCGAAGCATTCCTTGCAGTCTCACTTCACGCGGAAGCATACGGACAAGTACGAGTACCAGTGCAGTTTCTGTTCGAAAAAGTTCAAAGTCAAGGGGGACCTAACGAATCACATACGATTCCATCACAAAGAGAAGCCGGTCAAATGCGACGTGTGTGGCAAGCTGTGCCTTAACAGTGGCTCACTTTACGTACACCAAAAGTGGGCACACTATAAGCCCAAGTACGAATGTCACATCTGCAAAAGACGTATGGTCACTCAAGCAAATTTGGATCAGCACCTCCTGTCGCAGCACGAGAAGCGTGACAAGATAGTTTGCGCGGAATGTGGAAAGACCTTCACGAAGAAGGACTCGTTTAAGAGGCACATGGTGGTGCATACAGGATGCAAACCGCATGCGTGTATGATTTGCAGCAAACCATTCGCACGCAGATCTCAATTACGTCAGCACTTGCTCATCCACACTGGCAAGCGGCCGTTTGTATGCGACATATGTGGTAAGGCGTTCACGCAAAAACCAGGTTTGATCTGCCATAGAAAAACTCACCCCGGCCCTCATCCGCCGCTACCCGTCATGCCAATCGCGGACATTGTTAAAGAGTTCACCGACGGATATGTGCAGGAACTTAACGCTCGAGAGAACGAGGAAAGGATCATCGAAGAGGAGGAAGTGTGAATACTTAGTTCATCATATAGATATATTGTATGCAATTTTTTCATCATCAATTGAAATAGCAAAAGCGCTCGTTATGGAATAAAAATGATATAACAATTGAGAAAAAATGTTGTACATGTACATGTACATGTACATGTGTGTTTACAGGATAAAAGTCGACACTTCTCAAATCTTTGTCGACAATTCTCAAATTTGTAAACGAAATTTCTTATTTATATATCTAACGTTTACATCATACTGATTACGATATTACAATCAAGTCCTTTAATTTTCATATTGTTTACTCTTATTCACTTCTCGTTATTCATTTCTTCTTCTCTTGCATATATTATCCTTGCATTATAAAGAGAGGTAGCAAGAAAAGAAGAGAGAGTGGTCAATAATAGAGAAAGTGATAAACAAGGAGAGAATAAATTTGTCATAAATAAATAAAACTGCGAAAATTCATAATGAAAAAAAAGAAAAAGAGAGAAATATTAATAAGCAAAAACAGATTTGTATAATTTAAATAATTCTAGATCATTTAAATACAGATATGAAATTTTTTCTACAAAATTTATTTTGTTTTTTTTTGTTTGTTTTAATGTAGCTTTATCAAATTATAAAAATTTTTTTACAATTTATCATTAATAAATTCAAACAATAAAACTTACGTTATGTGGATGTTATCCAGATTTATCCTGAAAGAAAATTGTTAGAAATATTCCATCAATGATAAGAGTGCGACCAGTTTTGAGGGTTTGTGGTCCATAATGATTTCTTTATATCCAAAGTTTAAAAATATCTTGAGTACAGATAACAATATATTTAAGTATGAAGTGTATAGATTAGCAAATGTATATTTCATAAATAGTTAATAAAAATAGTGATCTTACAATTTTTGTCGACGTTTCAGCGTATCAATATATTTATCATTAGAATGCAATTAAAGCTCTGTACATTTCTTTGAGCCAATAAAATTATACTAAATAAATATAACAAATATGTCAATAACAATGTTTATTTTTGTGGATTATATGCATTACAGTTAAATGATATATTCATTAATAAAATTAATAGAGGATTTCTAAATTATCTTGACAATAGTTTCAATTTGATACTATTTAATAATATTTTTTTAAACACTATTTTATTGGTTAAAGAAAATAAGTTACGATTGTAATGAAGTTACAAATAACATTTTTAATAACACAAGTGCTGATTCTCTGATTACAAAAGAATTTATATTACTCATAATTTCATAAAATAATAACTGATAAAGTTACGTACATTTCTTGAATTTTTAATCATCAATTTATTATATAATTTATTATACAAGATTTAAAGTAAAACAACGTTTATATGTGTGTATTATTATATTTTCTTTTATTTAATACGGTGTTCTCCATTTGTACTTTCGTTTAGATACTATGTCAATATTCACGCCTGTTACTTCTCATACTTCTCATTTGTTGTCATCTATTTGTGACGTATAAAACTATCTCTTTCAGTTAAATCTTTTAGTTAAATTAAAAATTTATCTCAAGGATGGAATTAATCTGAAAGATCTGAAATTGTTACTAGGTTTTTACATTATAAAATATAATTAAGATTTATTATTAAAAATACTACTTTACAATAATAGAAATAATATTTTTAAACACAACATTGACACACATGTGAGCAATTTTTAACAATCTGATTGGTCCTTGCGATCGATCATCGTACTTTACTCGAAAAGATAAGTATTAGTAAATAAGTAGAGAAAGCAGAGTAGTGCATAAATATTAATATAATATATAAGCAAAACTACAAATATGAACAACACTGATTTATAAATAATGAATATATTAAATATATTTTTTATCTATATATATTATCCTAATATAAATAATATCATTTGACGTTAATATAAATTCAACTTACAAAATATAAGAACTCGCAAAAAAAATTATTTAAAAAATTTGCAATTAGTAAAACAATATTTTATTTTTTTTGTTTGTTATTACAAACACTTTAAAAAGCTGACAAATTTAAAAAAGAAATAAAAAAATAGATTTATAATAATAAATAATCTTAAAAAATAATTATAATTCGAGAAAGAACGATCTTTTTAAAAATACGAACAAAATATTCTATTTTCTTTTTACTATATCGAAATAAATATTTGCTTTTTAAGGAATCTTATTATTTAATGAAAAAATGTTTGATTTAATTTCATTTCAAATATTTGTTTAATTTAATCTCAAAAATTACATTTTGAATAATCAAGGTGTCAATATTCTTGTATCCTTGTTTTATTTTTTATTTCAGGGGATCAGCATTTCTTATTGGAAATTACAAAATATACTTTTTTTTTAAATAAAATGTCACGAGAATATACAATAAAACACGAGTACAACATTTGAGGATAATTATATTAAATAATAATATGATAATGATGTTAAATAATAAGTAATGTAATAGTATAAATCTATAAATAAATAAATTTTTCATATCTATTGTACATAATTTTGTTATTCAGAGTCGTTATTATGTATGGAGAATATCTCTTGTATGAAAATGACATTAATCTTTAAACGATAAAAGATGATTTATTTATGATAAATTTTACTATCTTCTTTTATACAAAATATACATTACATTTATCAATTGCTCCATGCACAATACATATTCTCTGAAATACATATTATGAGAAAGACGGACATAATTATTTTGTTCAAGATAATTGTGTTCAATAAAATTAGATTAGTAAATGTACTCACAAGGATATATAGATTTTGATTTCAAATAAATATTTTTGATAGCACAGCTTTTTATAAATTATCTTTATACAATAATGCATGTTTAATTAGAAAAATTTAATAATACCGATATTGCGATCTTGTAAAAATCTCTGATGAAAATGTCTGACAAGATTTTTACATATTTATGCCACTTTCGAAGACAGTTTAGATTTCACGAAATATTTTAAAGGTAAGTATGATACTTAATATTAATCACTTGTATATTGTGTTTTTGATAATAATGTTTCTTTTTCTCAATCTTGCAGGGATGTAATCGATATAGATCTTTAATAAAAACGACGAAGAACGATTGCTCTCAAGTATCGATATTCTTACAAATGAAAAAGGGATATTGTAAAAAAATCCGAGTTAAAAGTAAGTCTGCATGCGAGAAAATGAGTTGAGAAAATTTTCGCTGTCATTACTTTATTCAAGCGCAAAGTCTAAGTGAAAATATCCCAAAAAAATCTATTAAAAGGAAAGAGAGATGCCGCCGAGCAAGAGAACTTGGATTTATAGCACATTTAGTATTTTACTAATTCCATTAATCCGTTTTGCAATTAAAAAGTCACAAGAATAAGAACCGCTTTAATTTCTACAAATACGGCAAACAAATCTTTTTCTAAGTTAAAAATTATGTTAATATGTGAAAGAGATACATGTTTTTGAAACATTCAAGTGCAATTTACCGCAAGAGTTATTTGAAGAAACACAGGATTGCAGTTATACAACACAAGTGCAACGAACGTTTCAAGATGAAAAATATTGCATAAGCACGTGTGAAATATACACAATGACATTCGTCAGTGTAAATTCGTCAGTGCGATTTATATCACAAGATTCTTTAGGATCTATTTGTTCTTAAAAAGCATCACGCCTACAACGATCGATTCTCTCGCCTCATATGCAGAAGTTTGCAGAGAAGAGAATTGAAGACGGAGGGAAAGAAGAATAAATGCCTTAAAAAGATGAAAAACAAAAAAACAATGCAATGCATCAGATTTAAAAAGAGCTGTTATTTTTAAAAAGATTTGTGTTAGCGTAATATAATTTATATTTTGTGTTAGTATTATATAATTTACAAGAAGCAAAAATTTATGTTACCAAATCACTAGATTAGAGGCGATAGTGTCTATATTTTAATAAATTTTCTGAACTTTGATGAGAAACATTATTTTCTTTAGTTCGACAAGCGAAAAAAATCTTTAAAAATCTTTGCGACTGTTCGCATTAATATAAATATTTCGGATTGTTTAATATTTTGTTTTAGATTGCGTTTAAAAGTAAGTGTGTAAATAACAAAATATTTTAGAAATGATGAAGATGTCCGATGCAAGTACTTTTGATTTAATAATGATGTAATATTTAATTAAAATTGCTAATTAATGTATCAATTTGAATAAAGAGGATATATATGTTGTATCAATATAATGTTCGCATATCATGTACTCCAAAAAAGAGCACAAAACTAAACTTGTATATATTAAAATGGCAAATGATAATAAAATAATGATAACAATATTTTGAATTTTCATTTTCTTTTACCTTCCCTAATAATTATGTTTTATCGCGTAATATCCTCCAAAGAAAGAAAAATGCGGTTTGTTAATGTTTTTTATTATTATATTTGTAATAAAACAATGCGTACTGAAATATTAGCTAAATTGATAAATTTAATGATCGAAAGGACACTAAAATTTCTTCATAAATTTCTTATCTTGGGAAACTTGGAAACTTTTCGCAGAATGTTAAGCTTACATTTCTCATAAAATCGACTGTAATCGAAATTGAGCAATACGCGGATAAATCGTTAAGGGAAGATAAGAAGAGGCACTCTTTTCACATCTTTGGACGTTTTTTTATAATAATTTTCTCTTATGTCGTAGGTTTGATTTGCTAGAAATGGAGGGAATCAAGAATGAGGGCATTCGTGGTTCCCACGCATTCTTTCTCGAGACGTCGTCGAGTATCGCCGAGATAATCAACACGGACAGCAGTAAGGAGAACAGGGGAGTGGTGCGACGCGTTCATTACGCCTGCGACGTTTGCTCGTTCCCGTGCCGGACGAAGGGAAGTTTAAAGAAACACATGCAGCTGCACAAGAACACGTGTAAGCTCTGCAACGAGCTGTTCGTCTCGACGGAAAAGCTGGAGCTTCACATGGTCGTGAATCACGGCGAGCCTAAGTACACCTGCAAGCTGTGCTACTCCGTCCTCTGGAACAAGCCGGACATGAAGAAGCACTTCCTCATCAATCACCTGGATCCCTTCTGCAACACGTGCAACACCTGCAACAAGGTGTTCCAGTCGAAGTACGCGATAGAGAGGCACATGTACAGCCAGCACACGAAACTCTCCGTGGCGTGCACGATCTGCAGACGCGTCTACAACAGCTTCCACGCGCTGAAGGCGCACACCAAGCTGATTCATCTCAAGTCCGGCTACCAGTGCGAGATCTGCAAGCGGCGTCTCCTCTCCGCGGACTCGCTCGAGGCGCACCTACGACGGCACGAGGGCCCGCGGAACATGGACACCTACATCTGCACGACGTGCGGGGAGACCTTCCTCACGAAGAACAACCTGAACAAACACGTGACCATCCACGGGGATATCAATCCCTACGTCTGCCCGGTCTGTCAGAAGGCCTTCGAGAAACGGGCGAATCAGGTGCAGCACATCCTTACGCATATGAGCAACGTTTACGAGTGCGACATATGCGGATTGAGATACTCGCGAAGGGCCGCCCTGATCTGGCACAGGAAAATGCATCCCGGGCCGCTCGGGAAGCTGCCGGTTATACCCGTGATAGGCATCGTGAGCGAGTTCGTTAAGAATTACATAAACAAAACTAAAAACTTACCAAACACATAACTCCGAATCGGACGCTTAAGTCTAAGAAGTACTAACTAAAAATATTATATAGACGGTATTGTTTTTTTTTCTTTTTTTTTTCTTTTTTTTTTTTCTTTTTCTTTTAAGGATAGGACTTTTCTATAAGGGTAAAATTTTCAAGAAATGCCAGATTTATCTATTTGTAAGTGTCCCCAGTGAACGCATATTGCAATTATAGAATATAAGGTATTTGTTATCCTTTCTCGGATATAACGCGACTTTCCGTTGACAATGTTACGATGCTATATTTTGTAATAAATGCAGTCCGATTTATATAATTACTGCATATGTGTACAGCAAATTTATTTAAAATATATGAATGATTAATCCAAAATTTGCGTTTTTTCCGAATTGTTATTCAGTTAACTTATCCTCTAATTACGCACTTGACTTTGTTCAAAACTCACTTGTTCAATCAGGTAAGTCACCATCAATTAATTATCCTGCATAATTAATTATGGTATTGATACGCATTCTTTTTTAGGTGATGCATTATGAAAAGCCGCGCTTTCGCCGATATTTAATACGTTCTTTAGCAAATCTCCGCAGACTTCTAATCACAATTAGGAAGGTAACTGGAAAAATGACGATAATAAAGCATCCGAATGTTTATTAAACCGCATCCAATAGTTATTCTAAAATTTCATTTTCAGCTCCCCTCTTCGTTATCAAATTCTCAATGATTTATCTTCTCGACAGGCATATATAAGCCATATTGTTCCTTCCGTTTATAGCTGATGATAACGCGAACTTTGCCTTTTATGTTTTAGAATGGCAGATCCGTTGAACGTTGAATCCAATGCCCAGAAATCCTTTGCCAAAGTCGAATGTGAAAAAAGGAGGAAAAACGAAAAGTCGAGCGTAATAACAGAGTGTGAAGAATTGTTAACGGAATACAAGGAGAAATCGGAGAATGTAAACGCGAATCTAACAACGGAGCTTGGTTCGCGTACCGAAGAGAATCGACCGACTAGAAGGGAAACGACGTGCCTAGAGTGCGACCATTGTCGCCGCAAGTTCCTGAAGAAGAGCAACCTCGCCGAACACCTGAAACAGCACAGGCACAAGTGCTCCGATTGTCCCAAGACCTTTAGCCTTCGGCGTTATCTGGTCTCTCACGTTGAGAAGAGCCATCAGCAGCAAATGTACGAATGCAGCGTGTGCAAGTACAAAAGCAACAACAAGGGCACCCTGAAGAATCATTATATTCGGCTGCATACAAGCAATTACGATTACGCGTGCGACACGTGCGGCAAGCAGTTCAAGATAAAGAAGGCTTTGAATCACCACGTGAAACAGAACCACAGCGAGGCTCCGCCGATCGTGTGCGACGTCTGCGGTCACTTCAGCAAGAATCTCCATGCTCTCAAGGCTCACATGAAATATAGGCACTATAAGCCGGAGTTCGTCTGCCAGATATGTCGACGGGGTATGACCACTCAAGAGAACCTGCGGCGGCATCTCATGTGGCACGAAACCAGAGAGAAGGTACTCTGTCCGACGTGTGGCAAGAGGTTCCGAGGGCGCGACCTCGATTCGCATATGAGAGTGCACACCGGGGTGAAAGCGTTTCCCTGTCCTGTCTGCGGAAAGACGTTTCGACGGCAAACTGCTCAGGAGCAGCACGTGTTGATTCACACCGGAAAGAGACCTTACATTTGCGATATTTGCGGGCAAGCGTTCGCCCAAAAGCCCGGCCTAATTTGCCACAGAAAAAGACATCCCGGCCCGCTGCCACCGCTACCTGTAGTTTCCATCAAAAACATTGTTACGGAATTCACAAAAGAGTACGCCACGAAAAACGCGGTCACAAAGACTGAATAAAATGCCCAAGTTTGTAATTCTAGTTTTCTAGAATATACTAGATATATATACTTGACGAGATTTAATTGTGATTAATATTAAATGCTTCGTGATTGTACTGAAAATAATTTAAAATTTGACATAAAAAAAAGACCGCAATGACAAAAAACGAATCTCAGAAATTACTTACTGAGCAATACTTTTGATCTAAGAAAGATATACATTTCTTTTATGTGATAGATCAAATTCTTATTTAAAAATGTCACTTTTTTACTATGATACATATAATGTTTTTTAGTAAAAATTAAATTTCTGCATAATCTTTTTATGTCAAATTTTGAAATATAAATATTTTTTTTACAATTTTTCTACTGTATTTTGTATTTAGTATGTAATAAAACTTACAATTTTTATAAATTTTGAATATGTTTATTAACTTCCTACATTTAACAAACGTACGACAAACTGAAAAAGTTGGAAAAAATTAAGAAAATCGTAATGCTCTATTTATTTAAAACACGTATTATTAAGTATTACATTCTTTGTTTAACAATTGTATAAATTATATTTAAAAAAATTTTAATGTAAATCTTAATAATTCAGAATTTATTATTCTTTTGTCTTAAAATATTTTTTGTAACGATAAAATGTTAAATGAATCTAGATTAATTTTAATTTTAGTTATTTTTTATCAGTGCTGAAACATTGCATTTAAAAAGATTTAATTACAGTCTATTTTTGCGATTTGACTTAATTCAATGACACATCTTTATATTTTTCACGTTCTCTTTGTAGATTAAAAATATTTACGAGTAAAAAAACCGGAAATGATTCAACACTCTTAATATCTCAAGTAAGTAAGCTTAATATTCAGCGGTAGAGCCTGCATTGTATGTAATAAAATTTAATTTGTTTTTAATTTATGTTGTAGCGATTCTTCACCCGTGGATCCTCTGAACGTTGTGGACGCCAATAATACGGATCCATCGTCCGAAAGCATAGAATACGCATCTGAGCACGACTTGTCAAACAGAATCAGACGACATATTGCCAGGAAGAGAAAAACCAGAGAAGACAAGAAGAAGCAAAACTTTAGTCGTGATAAAATCGTCAAGAAGAAGCCTAAACTTTCCTTGGAGTGCGCCACGTGCGGCAAACGTTTTAGCCAGAAAGCAATCATGATAAAACACATGAGCCTGCACAAGTACCAATGTCAAACCTGCCGCCAAAGTTTTAGTCTGAAGCGAGAGCTGAAGCGTCACGTCATGAACGTTCACGGGCCTCTTTTATATCCCTGCAGTATCTGTGAGTACAAGAGCAACAACAAGTGCACCTTGAAAGATCATTTCATACGGAAGCACACCAGCGACTTCCAACACTCCTGCACAGTTTGTAAGAAACAATTCAAGATCAAGAATGATCTGAAGCAACACATGAATCAGGTGCACAGCGGCGAGCCACCTATCATCTGCAGTATCTGCGGACACGCCTGCAAGAACGTGCCTGCCATCAAGGCGCACATGAAGTATCGACATTACAAGCCCGCTTACGAGTGCAAGATATGCAAGCGCGGTCTGACCACGCAGGAAAATCTCGACCAACACTTGATCTGGCATGAGCGAAAGGAGAAGGTTGTCTGTCCCACCTGCGGCAAGACCTTCGGTCAGAAGAGGGACTTGGATCTCCACTTGAGGATCCATCAGGGTATCCGGCCTTTTTCCTGCCCGGTCTGCAACAAGACGTTCCCCAGAAAAACCGCGCAGGAGCAACACATATTGATTCACACCGGCAAGAAGCCGTATATTTGCGATATATGTGGTCATACCTTTGCACAGAAACCCGGACTCATTTGTCATAGGAAACGACATCCTGGACCGCTGCCGCCGTTGCCTGTGGTATCCATTAAAAAAATAATCATGGACTTTACGCAGGAATTGGTCTCTTCTACGCAACAGGATAAAATAGATAGTTAGATATTTATTTTAAAGACTGCATCAACGTGTTGAGGAAATTAATTTGTTTAATAATTCTAAGATGCATACAATTTCCCATATGTACAAAAAAGTGTACCGTCGATTATTATTCACTGAATTTTGTAATTTGTTTCCTTGAATATCAAATAAATATTTTAGAAGAACAATTCAATTTTTCAATTTTTCAAAATTCAATTAGAATTTTTCAAAATATAATTAGAAACAATTAATATTTATTTTAAAATTAAAGATCACGTTGATTCGTGTTATGCATTCTAAAATTAAACAAATTTAATTTTATTTTCTATTTTGAATTTAAATTTTTTATGATGTCTACTTTTGTCGAAATTGGTTTTAAATAATATATAAAATTTTTAATTAAATATGTTACCAAATTAACTGACATGTTTCTCATGATAGAAAATGACAAGTATTGTAAGTATGCAAGAATTTTGTATTTATGATTACTTATTATAAATATAAATTATAATTGTATATTATATATTATATATAATTTTTTATTGAAACAAAATAGGAAGAGGATATTTGAAAGGTTTTATAGAATTTGTAATTTTTACTTAGATACCGATATTCACGTCTATTACTTTTCTTACTTCTTAACTATTTTTTCATGCATACGAGAAAACAATTATGAAAAAATATAAAAAACGTGAATAACAATGCAAATATCAGTATTTAAGCAAAACTACAAATCCTGAACAATATTATTTACTATATTTTAGAATTATATAATCTTCAGTCCATTTGTTTATACTGTATATAAATAATTCTGTATTTACTTTGTTTCAGTTAAATAAAAAGAAGATATATTATCTAATAATCTTGATATTGATTTTTTTAAATTTAATAAACAATTTAAACAATTTTTTTTATATCAAAACACTCGAATACAATACGCGTAATAATTTATTCCTATGGTGGTTATGCGTATTATTTTTATATTAAATCTAAATTAATATATTTTTAATTTAATATATTCACATATAAAATAATCATTGTCATTTTTACGATTTTTACTTATTTTACAAAACTACTCTGTATTTAATATCACGAAGTTGCCACAGTAATATATTATCCTTAAAAAAAAATTTGAATTTTTAAACCAATCGAAACATTTCATATTTTCTTTTAATACCTTATAAATATTACATCAATTTAGCGGTGATTCTTAAATGTGATTTATTTCAAGGTTGTTAATAATTTTACGAAAGCAACTTTGCAAAATTATTACATCATTTTTTTGTACAGGTCTTTCTTACGTTATCATGTCTATTATTGTTGAGAACAAGTGGTAAAATGGTAGGTGGTGCTTCATACAAAATGAAGAAATAAAAATAAATTTCAATCATGCTTTCTCTGCATCTGCTTTCTCGCTTAATTTTTCCAAGTGGAGTATTTACTTAGTTTCTCTCTTTCCGCAAAATGAGAAACGCCATGTTTCACCACCATCCCCTTCTTTCAGGCAACGACGGGGGGGTAGATTGCGCGCCGTCCACCAATGCGTCAAATGCGGCGCTCGCTTTCGTCACACGCGGAAACTCGTGGAACATCTGAAGAATCTGCACAACATCGATCGTGCTTTCAGCTGCGACGAGTGCAGCAAGACGTTTCGCAGCCCCATGAACATAGCTCGTCACAAACTGATCCACACGGGACTGAAGGTGTTCACCTGCGATCTCTGCGAGTACAGCACCAACCAGAAGTCCAATCTGGAGTGCCATCGTCGTCGGCACGCGAGGGATTACAGCTTCACGTGCGAGACGTGCGACAAGGGCTTCTTCCACAGGACCGAATATCTCGAGCACCGGAACGCGCACACGAGCAAGGGTCTGTATCGTTGCGAGCACTGCTCCAAGCGTTACCTGTACAAGAAGAATCTCTCGGTACACCTGATGACGCATCACACCGGCAAACAGGGTACCGGCGCTGTGCCCTGCGCGAGGAACGCGAAGACGAGACACGCCTGCAACTTCTGCCCGGAGAGATTCGCGTACAAGAGACTGTTGAAGAGGCACATGAGGAACGAGCACGGACTCCCGTCGGACACGCCGGCGAGGCATCTGTGCGACTTGTGCGGCGCGAAATTGTCGTCGATGAAACGGCTGACGGTGCACAAACGTAATCACGTCGGCGAGAAGGCGTTCGAGTGCGACACGTGCGACAAGAGGTTCGCCAGCAAAGAGAACCTGACCGTTCACAGGCGAACGCACACGGGCGACAAGCCGTACGTCTGTCCGCAGTGCGGCCGCGGTTTCACGCAGAGGACCTCCCTGGTTTTGCATCTGCGATATCACTCGGGTGAAAGGCCTTATCGGTGCTCGGATTGCGGCAAGGGATTTGTGTCTAACACTTTGCTGAAGAGGCATCGCAAAGTGCACGAGAAAGCCGCGCGACCGAAACTGTGAAAATGGGATCCCTTTGACGAATCTGATACCTACCTCTCGACAGTTAGGATCGAGGATTTGCAATTTATCTTGTTGACGATTGTAATTTCTGCGATAAATAAATGCGAACGTTGTTGAATAATGGAATGGCTTTAATTCTTTAAAAATCTTCGATGTCGTTTGTCATCTGCTGTGGCCATTTGTAGGATTTATGATGATCTTAACGTATTTTCTTCGGTTCCCAGAAGTGCATTTTTAAGTGCACAAGAATATTAACTTTACTCTAGGCGAGGAATGAATTAGTAGGAATAGAAATTAGGAGTTAATAGAATTAGTGTTACGTCTTTATGAATCTTTATAAATCGTGAATCGATTGTAGTAACCAGTGGACGAATAATCACGAAAGTGGAGAATGGAAACCTGCCTAATCTTGGACGGAAGTGAGCAGTGAGAGTTGCATATCATTTACATTTCTTGCTGGACATTATATTTAATTATTATTATATTTATTTAAAATATTTTATTTGTTTCGAAATGCAATTTATTTTGAAAAATTCAATTAAGACTAAGAGGTTGGCTCTTTCTTCAGTGCTACTTTAAAGACATAACTAACAAGTGACATTAAATTATGACATTAAAGGGTAAGTTTTCAGTTTTTATTTTTATTTAAAAAATTTTTTTAGAATTATTTTCCGGAGGGAAAATTTGAAATATTTTAATAAAACACCTTTATATATAATTATTGTTTACTGACTTGTAATTCGGCAAGAAAATTATCATGTATTATTACAACTAAACTATTAACTTTTTACATTTTATGTATGTAAGATGTGAGAATTGAATAGAATATATATATATATATATATATATTTTCCACGTTTGCGTTAGAGAAAATAATTATACATAATCTGACAGAATGTATTTTAGAGTAAGTGACTTGCCAATCCAAGCTTCGTCGTTCTGTAAAGGGAAGACGCCCGTCACGGAAACGCTTGCTGTTTTGAACGGTTGCAGATTCGAAAGCGGCGAGAAGGCTTGCGAGTTATGCCAGGCAAAGTTCCACTTCGTTACCAGACTGGTCGCGCATCTCAGGATCGCTCATGGCATTCATCGGCCCTTTAAATGCGTTACATGTGGCAAGAATTATCCCCAGCAGTTCATGCTCAATGCCCACGTGAAGAAATCGCACACGCCGAAAACCGTGCCGTGCGCCCAGTGCAGCTTCATGGGCGTCAACGCGACCGACGTGGAGAGGCACAGGAGGCGACGTCACCAGCTCTCGAAATTCACATGCGAAATTTGCAGCGAGGATTTCGCCGACAAAGATGCTCTGATCACGCATACGGCGATGCACGACTTTATGCAATATCAGCGATGCAGCGCGTGTGGTAGCGTCTTTAACGACGTGTGTAGGTAGGTCCTCTTGTGATTGTTAATATGATCTGTTATTGGTAGATTTATTTATGGAACGTTTCAGACAGTCCATTCAGTCCTCTTCTATATTCTCTAAATTCAGAAAAATGACTTTTTGATCCTGACTTTGTATTAAAGTAGCTTTCTTGTGTTATTAGTCTACATTCGATCTGCTTTTAGAAACTAAATTGCTTCCTTGTTCTCCTCCTTTTGAGATTACAATTCCGTTGCAATTGCAATTAATTTAACTCAATGACCTTATAATATCGAGGTGGCATCGATGTAGATTAACAAGAGAGTTATGTTGCACAGCTTAAAGGAGCACAACCGCCTCTACCATTACGATTCCGCATCGGACGAGAAGTTGGAGGAGCCCAGCGAGAACGGGTCCGAGCACAAATGTGATATTTGCGGCAAGGTCCACAAGTACAGGTCAATGCTGAAGCAGCATAAGATCAAGGCTCACGGGATCCGCCGAACTGCGAGAGGCGTAGATATCTTTGCGCGTTATGCGGCAAAGAACTCAAGACCGCGAAGGGCCTCGAAATCCACAACAGGTCGCACACCGGCGAGAAGCCGTACACCTGCGAGGTGTGCGGCAAGTGTTTCGCTTGCGAGACTCTGCTGAGGACTCACAACGTCACTCACACCGGAGAACGAAGATACTCGTGCGACCAGT